CCCCGTCAGGCATCAGAGTGTGTCTATCGTTTGGTATGAAACACATCTCAGTCCATAAAATCATTTGATGGTATTTGATTCAGTGCAGTGCTTCTGCTGTATTCCCGTTGCTACAAGAACCGCCATTTTGTTTGTTGAGTGCCAGGAGAGGGGAAAAAAAAAGGCAGACAATGTGCTCGATGCCAATAATGGTTGCCAGTGGCACCGAGGTTGGCATCAGACCCTCTTTGTCTAGTTGCTGAATGCCTTTGATTCGTTGGTTGGCATCCGCATTGCAGTGGGCACACTGGAAAGTTTTTGACAATCAGTGAATGAAAGCTGCAGTACTTGTTTGCTGCAACAGAACCCAGATAATATAAATCCCTTCTTCTGATAGATGTTTTACTTACTCTTACAGTGGCTAATTAAAAAAAAAAATCAAATCGCGTTGCTATTTTTTCTGAAACATAAAATATCTACAGCAGTATGTCTCATCTGCAGAATTCCTAATCCCCACATCTTCTCCGCTGTTTTTTTTTTTTCAGCATAAATAAAATGCAAACTTGATGTTAGGTATTTCAGCACATACTAAATGAACCATTGAAGACCTTGAGATATGCTTTGGGAGTTTAAAGGGCTGAAGCAATGGTACACGTAAATAGTAAACATTTTAAGTGTTTTTAATGCATGTGCTTCTCAGAGCGCGTACGTCAGTCATGTTCGTGTTTACAGTCTCCTTTGTCCTTGTTCAAGGGTGATATAATTGGGGGAGCCTGCATCCCCAGCTGTTAATAAAGTCTGAAGTTGAGGGAGGGGAGGATCATTTTAAACTATCCGAGAAGGAGGGCAGAAAACAGATGCAGATGTCCTTACTCCAATACCGTTCAGTCACTCCTGATTTTTTTTTTTTTTGACTTCTTAAACCGTCAAGATGCTGCTGCAGTTCCAGCTGCATGACTTGTCCTACCAGGAAATCAGCAAAAAAAAGACTGACTCACTTCTGCTGGAAGTTTCCTAGATAGCGTCAATATTGCTTTCCGGTCAACTGCTATAATCTCGTTAATTAATATAGAAGGATTAGCAGCTCTACCTGAAGGGCTGCGCAGAAGGAAGCCTGGCCTACGTGAGAGTCCCTGAATCGACAGACTGTGTCCTGTCTCAGGGGGGAAATAAAAAAAGAAAAAAGAGAAAAAAGAAAGGAAGAGAAAGGAGAGGAGGGGGAGGGCGCAGGCTGGCTCCTGCAGCCCCGCCTGGGGTGGCTGTGGGGTCCCAGTGGCCTGGGGGTCCGCTG